GCCAAGAATATGCTAATAGTGTTAGCCTTTTGCCGTCAGAAAGTATTTTGACCCACTTTTGAGATATGGTGTCCGAAAAGTAGGTCAAAATAAAAAGTTCTCCAAATTGAATATATGAGTTATGAACTAAGTATAGAATTTTCTCAGGAATCCGAATCTGCAAACCAAATTTCGATTCGACTTCCAGTTCGGAAGTTATGACATTTTGAAAGCTCAAAAATCGCTAAATTTGGTGCCCCGTGTTATGTTAATGGGAAAAAAGATTTTTTTGAAGTGTAAAATACGAGATATAGACTAAGTACATCTTAAAATAATGAAAGCCTATGAAAGAAGGGAACCTCGAAGGCTATCTAACTTCAAAATTTGGACACCAAAATCCCTAGGTCAAAATCTAGGTCAAATTCATAGTTTATCCTTATTTTTGCGATTCTGATACTACACTTTAATTATATTCCTCGAAATTGTGTATACATGTAGCCAAGAGTGTGCTTATAGAGTTAGCCTTTTGCCGTCAGAAAGTATTTTGACCCACTTTTGAGATACGGTGTCCGAAAAGTAGGTCAAAATAAAAAATTCTCCAAATTGAACGTTTGAGTTATGAATTAACAATAGAATTTTCTCAGAAATCCGAATCTGCAAAACAAATTTCAATTCGACTTCCGGTTCCGAAGTTATGGCGTGTCCAAAAAGTAGGTCAAAATAAAAATTCGCCAGATTTAACGTATGAGTTATGAATTAGAGGTAGAATTTTGTCAGGAATCCGTATCTGCAAATAAAATTTCGATCCTACTTCCGGTTCGGAAGTTATGGCGTTTTGAAATTTCAAGAAAAATCGATCTGATGGTATCCTGATAGAAAGTCAAGAGTAGAGAAGAAAATATTGAAAAATGCATCCATCCTTCCTTTCTGATCCTATCCTATCCTTCCTATCTACCCTTGCTTCGTATCCTCTCCACCCTTGCTTCGTATCCTCTCCTTCCTATTCTATCCATTCTTCCTATTCTATTCTATCCCTCTTTCCTATTCTATCCTATCGTTCCTTCCTATTCTATCCTATCGTTCCTTCCTATTCTATCCTATCCTTCCTTCCTTTTTCATCCATCCATCCATCTTTTGCTGGATGACTTAGCTTATTTTGGATGACTTGGCTTATTCTGGATGACTCGGCTAAAAAAGGTCTAGATCTGGAGTCTGAAATTGAACTCGTTCAATTTCCAAAATCTAGTTATTTATAATAGTTCAAACCTGCTAGTTTCTCATTGTATGTGAATACTTTAGTATTGAAATAATTTGATATTGAACTGTTAAAGGTAAGTAAATAAGATGGCAAATTTGTTATAATGCCACACATTTATGATTTACGTTGAATTTTTAAATCTTAATGTTTGTCTACAAAGGATTCAATCGTATATAGTATTAATTAAATCCAGAAAATCAATCAAGGATGGTGAGTGAATAATTTTATGTCGTTGCTTTGGAAACAAAACAGACGGCTCGTCATAAGACAGACAACATTCTGTTATAGTGAAATACATTCATGTTCCCAGCAGGCAAAGCGAGACGTTTAGAATTGAAATATAGGGAAATATTTATTCTCGCTGGACAAATCAAAGTCGCTAATCAAAAAAGTCCCTTTACTTGGTGATGCAAAGTAATATTCATATTCTAGGAAGTAGATGTCCATTTAGGCTTCTTGTTCCTAACAGGTTTCAACCTTAGATGGAATATTCAATCACTTGGTAGGTATTTTTGCAACAACATGTATACAAAATCAAACCTTTATAGCAAGCTTGCCCCGGAGCTTGCCTGCCATTTTTAGGACAATTCTTAAATCAGTGGCCCAAGATAAATATCTTATCTTTCTAGAATGGCAGTCTATGACCCTAAACATAACAGAACAGAGAATTCTCATTTGAACTGGACAATTTCCTATTTTCAAAGATTTGCAGCGAATTTTATGTGTTCTTGGGTGCTCGGCATTTGGTGACGTCATTCATTTATGTACAGCAAACAAATATTCATGGGAAATAATTAAATATTCATTTATGGGCAGTCTTTCTTGCCAAGAATACCTTTATTATAAGATTATAATGAAGAAACAGCATATGCTTACGATAATAAAGTGGATTAGCATCATGGTTCAGAATGCTAGAATGAACTCTTTTAAAACTATGTTGATTGGACATACTGATGGGCGTGATTTCAATAAATTATGTTCATGAGTACGAAAGAATATGAAAGCATTATGGGAGCTATACTCACTTATTCTGATCTAATATGATTTGATATTGTTTAGCGCAGTGATCTGCAGAGGACGCTATCAGGGGGTTGTAACGCGTCCAGTATTTTCGCCTGGTACAACTGGAAATACTGGACGCAGACCTCCATTTTTGATCCAGAGAGAGGTAGGTGTGATTTTACTCGGTAGCGTGTGGTCGTTTTTCAGTGTTTCCTTATCTAGAAACAGGCTCATCAAATTCCAAGTACATTGAGGAACACACAATTCTTATAAAATGACAGTCATTCCTCTAGATTTTTTGTAATGTGGGGTTAAGCACGGAAATACTTTTATTTGATTTTTTCCCAGGAAGTACACGAATCGAGTCAGATTTGTTTTTATTTACCATTTCATTAACAAGATATGCAATTTTCTTGTGTATGGAATAAGAATACAACTTCCAGTCGGCAAATTTTAGCTTTGAAATGATCGAAAATAGAAAAATGACGAAAGGATTGGTATCGATATGGAGAACTGAATTTAACAATTTTTTTCTCTTAAACCAATCATTGAAAACATTCTGTAAAAAACACGGTATTTTATGTAATGTTGACTGATTGACAACAATTTAATCCGAAAAGTATATAGAAACATTTTCTATGTTTTTCTTAACATTTTTTTTAATGCAATTGTTTTGCTCCTTTCTACCAATTCTTGAGAATGAAATAAAATGTCTTTCCGAACCTTGTTGGAACAAAATAGCATATACAACATGTTTTTAGACCTCTCAATATTATAGTTATGCAAAGGAATTTTTGGTTGATTTTAAAAAAAGTATTCAAAAAGTTAAAACAAAATCCCCCCAAGATAGATAAAAATCAAGATAAACCTTTTATTTCATTAACAAGATATTTTTTAAAATCAACCAAAAATTCCTTTGTACAATTTCAATATTGAGAGACCTAAACATGTTGTGTTTATGTCGTTTTGTTCCAATGAGGTTCGGAAAGATGTTTCATTTCACTCTGGAAACATGATACCAAGAACAAAACAAGTGTTTGATGTGTTTTCTAAAACAATATAGATGAAAGTATATATATATTTTTCAAATTATATTGTTACCATTCAAAAGATATTAAATTGACACTGCATAAAATTTTAGATTTTTTTGATGACTGGTTTAAGAGAAACGTGTGTTCAAAAAGTTCGCCATATCGATACCCATCCTTTAAAGAAATACCGGACGCAATGAAAAAATAATGGACGCAAGCCATTCAGTATTAACAAGCTTGCGTCCAGTACATTTTTTATTTCGTCCAGTATTTCTAAGATTTCGTCATTTTTCTTTTATCAATCACTTTTAAGCTAAAATTTACAGATTGGAGGCTGTATTGTTAGTTCATACACAAAAAAATCTTGTCAATGAAATGGTAAATAAAAATAAATATAGCTCAATTCGTGTATTTTCTGAAAAAAATCAAAATATTTCTTTGCTTAACTCCACATTACAGAAAAACTAGATGGATAGCTGTCATTTTATAAGAATTGGATGTTTCCCCAATGTACTGGGAATCTGATGAGCCTGTCTGTGGGTAAGGACACACTGTAAAACGATCACAGGCTACCGAGTAAAATCACACCAGTCTACTCACACCTACCTCTCTCTGGATCAAAAATGGAGGTCTGCGTCCAGTATTTCCAGTTGTGTCATTATGATTATCTTTGCATCAGCTCTATATTGCATGCATCATAAAGACACCGAGGTAATGGAATTCTAGGATGATGCTTGTGTTAGTCCTGATTTGCATAGTCGGTCACGTGGCCTCTCAATTGACGGTTGCACAGGTGAACGTGATGAAAACGAGGCTAAATCGGGCAATCGACGAATCGTATGACGAACTTGAAAACACACATCCGCTCATAGCAGGAGCCGTGAGGTAAAACTATCTTAGTAACCATTAACATTATTACTACGCGTGTGTGCTGATGTTTAGAAACTGAAACTTTGAAACATACATGAATATCTTCCGATGTAACCTTACAAAGCCAACCATGAAAATCAATTTCAAAGAAATACCCCAACTTGAAATAATGCACACGACAAAATGAGCAAAGCAAGAAATATAAAATAAAACAGGATCTTAAGAGGTTCTGGACAAATCATTTGATTCTGGACTTGTCATATTTTTTTTCAACGAAATCACATCCAAGGGTTGAATTTTTATTAGCTATTTAGAGAGTGAGTCCTGCCTAGTATTAATTTCAATAAAAAAGTTAAAATAGAACCCTATTTGAGAGTCAATCTAATACTTACATTACATTGATAAATTAAGGCAAATCCTGAAATATTTTAAAAGTGCATTTTTTATGAAATATTATCCAGCAAGTATTTAGAAGAAACGGTCTTATTTGAATACAAATCATAATAACATGATGATATTTTTCATGAAACATTTTTCATTTTTAATTTAGGTGAAAACCTTTACATGATGATGTGTTTTCATAACTTCTTTCATAAAATTCCATCAAGGGGTGAAGATAAAATGATCGAATTTAAGTGATTTAAGGATCACGAGAATATGTTTTCTTTGATATTTTCTATGAAATCCCATCCAATGGTCAAGGTAAAATTTTGATTTTGATTTGGTATTAGGTCACGTGTTCGAAAGATCCATATAAGGCCCATAGAACCATATAGGAACGTCATTTTGAATGTCACGTGATAGATCCATATAAGGCTTTTAGAACCATGTCGGGAAAGATGAGTGGAAGCCCCTGACACCTGTTTCACGATTTTATCCGAACGTTGTTCGGATCATTTCGGTTTTTATGCACTTCATTATTGTACCGAAGTTTGCCGATTCGATTCGTCGTATTTCGGAATCCTGGTGACAATTTTATACTCCATTTGGAGTATTTTTGATCCACTTCTTATGACGAAATTTCCGGAACCTTGTTCGGATTAATCCGGATTTTCTGACCTACTTTATCTTCCGAGATTTCACGAGTTAACATTCGTCTCATTTCGGAATCCTGGTGACAATTTTATACTCCATTGGAGTATTTTTGATCTACTTCTTATGACGAAAATTCCCGAACCTAGTTCGGATTAAACCGGATTTTCTGACCTACCTTTTCTACCGAGATTTAACGAGTTACATTCGTCTCATTTCGGAATCCTGGTGACAATTTTATACTCCATTGGAGTATTTTTGATCTACTTTTTCTGGATTTTGCCCTACTTATTATTGTGACAACAAGCAAATCAAAAAGTTCGACATGAACGGGTCTCGATCAACTAACCTAGAGCCTGAAAGCCAGGCACGCTAACCATGAGGCCAACGTGCTACCGATATGAAAGAACAAAAGTATTATATATTTATACCGAGCGTCAATTCAAAATGATCCTCACTTTTGACTCCACTTAAATACGACTCGTCAGTTGTATCAAGAATAGGTGAACGCCTATGGCGCTAGGGAATAATCCAGTCCCAGGTGAGCGGTTCGTATCCCTCCGTGATATACTATTTTTGTTTTATTAAATACGACAGAAAGGAGCAAGGTGTAGTTTGAAAACAAGACGTTAGTTTGTTTCAAAACAGTTTGGAAACATTAATCTCTGATAATTTAAGATTTTCCACTCCTGAAGGGCCTCTAGATCTATGAAATTCATTAATCCACTCAGTAAAAATACGATTTCTCTGTAACCTGATGTCCAATCAAGATCATTCAAATATATATGTGTTCCTGACACGTTTGGGCGTCCGGGAATAGCAAGGTCTACACAAAGTTTGCACGCGAAATTGACGTAATTCATGACTGAAATCGGGAAGACAAAATTTGAGATTCACAAACAAAATTGCTTCTGAAAACTATTTACAAAAGTGTTCCAGAGACTCTAATCTACTTGGCTAAGGTTTTATTTGAAGATACATTGCCTTATTAAGCAGGTAGAGGGGCATACAGAATACGGAAGCAAATGCTATGTTGAAAATTTTCTATATTTCAATTTGAACCTGTTATTACATGTCACGTAGGCCAGTGTTTTATATGGGGATTATATGTACTTTACTTGTTTACATGAACGTAAATCATTACATGAAATCTGCATTCTTCCGGGTTTAATCTGGGTTTGTATTGTCTTAATAGAGATTTTACATTTTGGCATGCCAACCTAAGGTCCCTGCGATTGCATGGGTGCACTAAGGTCCTATCACTTTTGGAAGAGTTTATTTTCATTCATAAGGTAGTATAGGAATCTTTACATTTTATAAGCACAAGATTTGAATACACACTCAGTCGAGCCAGTTACTTGAATAAAACCTTGACATTGCAAATCTATGGAGTAAATGTACTATAGAATATAACTTATCAATGTGCAAAAGACCCCATGCAGAACAGTTCTAGTGATACAGACAGTCTTCCCATTACAAACCAAAGGCTTTACCAAAACGCCCAAAAATCACTATGAATTTTTCTAGTATTGCAGACATTTATAGTTAGTTTATTGACTAAATTACACAAACAGGCACATTTCTAAAAAAAATCTTACTTGGAAATACGGTTCTTATAATTGGGTTCCATATATACATATTAAAATGTGTTGGTTCATGCATGCACATTGATGGATAAACAAAATATTTGTTCATACAAACTGGAGAACGTACAACATCTGCGTTCATACACACTGGAGAAAGTACATATTATTTGTTGATACAAAAGGTGTGTTCATAAACAATGGAGTACATGTACATACTATTTGTTCATACATGTTGGTTCATATACATGTTCATACTGGAGATAGAACGTATTGTCTCTTCCACTATAAATATAGTAGTACATAAAATTTGTTCATACACACTGGTTTAGGTACATTTTATTCATTCTGACACATTGATTAATAAACAAAATATTTGTTGAGACACAGAAGAGAATGAACAAATTTTTGGTTCATGCACAATGGAGAAAGTACAAATGATTTGCTTATACATATTGGAGAATGGACGCAAAATATTTGTACATACATACGAGGAGAAAGTACATAAAATGTGTTCATAGAAAGTGGAGAACGTACAGAGTATTGGTTAAATAACTTGTGAAAGTACATAATATTTGCTCATACACACTGGAGAAAGTACATGATATTTGTCAATACACACAGTTAAAAAGTATTATTTCATATATACACTGGAAAAATATAAATAGTAGTTCATACACACAGAAGAAAGTACAATATATTGATTCTGAAACATTGGTGAATAAAAAATAGGGAAATGAACCTAGTTTCGGTTCATACATACTGGAGAAAGTATATACACAGGAGTGTGACTCAGAAATGTGACTAAAAAAACAGTTAAAAGTTGGACTTTTGGAAAAGTCACCAGACAGAATCTATTGCATTTTTCGGAAAGTTTGCCAAATATATTATCTAAAATGATAGGAGCTTGGAAAATTTAAATTCATTCCTAGAAATAGAAAAAATGAGAAACTGATTTACAGCAATCCATTTTCTTTTTATGATCACAATTTTTGTTTCAGACAACTTTCAAAGCTCCTATGATTTAGAGCAATATATTGGGCACATTTTATGAAAAAATCAGAACATTCTGTTCAGCGACATTTCCAAAAGAAAACTTTTTAATCATTTTTCAGTCACAAAGACTTCGGAGGGCTGAAAAGTCTGACATGATGTTTAGAGTCATTCTGAGCATGATCATTGTGATCCTGGTCATGTAAATGATATGTGAGAGTAGTGAAACTGATTGATGGCAAAACAGAACTCTATTCAGTTTTTAAAAAATCCAATATCAACGTATCTTTTCATTTCCTGTTTTGTGTACATTTCTGATAACTACTTCCTTAACCCACACTGGAGAAAGTACAAACTGTTAGTTTATACACCCTGAAGAATGGAGAAAATATGAGTTCAACGTTTGAGATGTTTGATCTATACATACTGAACAATCATACAAACTAGAGAGACTTTGAGAATATTGATTAATCCAATCTGAGTAATATGATAGTTGGTTCTTCAAAATAAGAGGTTTACTTAGATTTTGAATATCAATATAGATTTGCATCACGTGTTATAAAGAATCTGATCTTCGTAACTTACTTAACTTAAATGCATGCGGATTAATATTCAATAGATTTACATTAAATGCAGAGTTCCTGTGACAGTGGCATTTATTTTTAGTGATCAAGAAAGTACTTTGCATGCTCTCGCCAAGTTATATAGGAAGAAAGCCAGAGCATTTTCATGCTGATACACATCGCATCTAAAAACGTCTGTGTCTATGATGCAAGAAGAGAGGGTCATGGTATTCCATCATGGAGCATTTTCGAAACCCTTCTTTATAAAATATGTAAACCATTCTTAGAATTGCTATATTGAAAATGGGCTATTGGTATGCACTGTGTACAAGTAATGCCGATTGCTCCGATTTTCACTAGGGCGCCCTGTCGATTGAGTATTTTGTTCAAAATTGAATACAATTTTGAACAAACGGAGCAAATGTGATACAGGCATCAGTTTAGCATGAATTTATTTTGTTAGGATACCAGTACTAAGTTTGCAAACATGCATGTCAACCATGGCCAATCAGAACAGTACATCCCTTCTATGTGATGATATAAACCCTTCCTACACCTTGGTTTAGCTTTGGATCACTATGCTATCACTATGTGGCAGAAATGCATTCTAATTGGATATAAATGATCACATGACCTTAGTTCACCTTAGTTCACCAAGGTATCAGGAGATGGCATGCCAAAATGTAAAATCTCTATTGGGGCTTTTCGACTTTAAAACAAACCCTACCTAAATGGATTGTGTCTCGGGAACGTTTTTGTAAATAGTTATTATAAACAATTCTGAAAGAATATCACATATTTTTGTCTTCCCGATTTCAGTCATGAATTACGTCAATTTCTCGTG